CTTCTAGAAAAAAAAAAATCTGGGGTTTCCACGACTCTTTCAAATTCAATTTAACATAGGACACTAGGAATCTCCAAGATTCTATCAAATTTCTTGTAGAAAAACGGGTTGTCCAATATTATTTCAAATTCTATCTTAACAAACGTTGGAACCATCAGGATTCTTTTAAATTTTTACTAAACCAGAACACTGGAAGGAACTACAATATTCTCTCAATCTCTTAAAAAAATACTAGGGCCTCCCAAGATTCTTTCAAATAAATTATTCAAACCTACTAGGAAATTTAAAGATTCTTTCGTATTCTAAAAAAAACTATGGGATTCAAGATTCTCTCAAATTTTTTATGCGATAAACAGCAGTAATTCTCAAGATTCTTTCAAACTCTTTGTAGAAACATTAAAGGACTCCAAGATTGGTTCAAATTCGTTCTTAGAAAACACCAGGAGCCTCCAATATTCTTTCAAATTGCTTCTAAAAAACCATTTTCGTATTTACGTACCAGATATCGTGACGGCGATTTCAGAATCGTAACTAGCGTAAGATTATTATCTACAATTTAATACCAATGATCGGTCCATTAAACCAATTTTAACCACTTTTTTGGAAAAATTTTGGAAATTTTGAATTCACTTTTCGTGTTTATTGGACCAGATATTGAGACAGCGGTTTCAGAATCGTAATTAGCGGAAGATTATCAACAATTTGACACCAATTTTCGCTCGGCTAAACCAATTTTAACCACTTATTTGGAAAATGTTTGGAAATTTTGAATTCAATTTTCGTGTTTATTGCACCAGATATCGTGGCGGCGACTTCAGAATCGCAACCAGCTGAAGATTATCTACAATTTGACACCAATTTTCGGTCGATTAAACCAATTTTAACCACTTTTTTGGAAAATTTAAATTCATTTTTCGTCTTTATTGGACTAGATATCGTGGCGGCGATTTCAGAATCGTGACTAGCGGAAGCTTATCTACAATTTGCCACCAATTTTCCATCGATGAAACCAACTTTATCCACTTTTTTGGAAAATTTTCGGAAATTTTTAATTCACTTTTCGCCTTTATTGGACCAGATATCGTAACGGCGATTTCAGAATCGTAACTAGCGGAAGATTATCAACGATTTGACACCAATTTTCGCTCGACTAAACCAATTTTAACCACTTATTTGGAACATGTTTGGAAATTTTGAATTCAATTTTCGTGTTTATTGCATCAGATATCGTGGCTGCGACTTCAGAATCGCAACTAGCGGAAGATTATCTTCAATTTGACACCAATTTTCGGTCGATTAAACCAATTTTACCCACGTCTCTTACAAATTCAATTTAATATGGGACATTAGGAATCTCCAAGATTCTATCAAATTCCTTCTAGAAAAACGGGTTGTCCTATATTATTTCAAATTCTATCTAATCAAACATTGGAACTATCAGGATTCTTTCAAATTCTCACTAAACCAAAACACTGGAAGTCACTACGATTACAATAAAGAACCCTAAGATTCTCTCAATCTTTTAAAAAAATACTAGGGTCTCCCAAGACTCTTTCAAATAAATTGTTCAAACATACTAAGGGATTAAAGATTCTTTCGTATTCTAAAAAAATACTAGGGGATCCAAAATTCTTTCAAATTTTTTATACAATAAACAGCAGTAGCTCTCAAGATTCTTTCAAATACTTTATAAAAACATTAAAGGTTTCCAAGATTGATTCAAATTCGTTCTTAAAAAACACCAGAAGCCTCCAATATTCTTTCAAATTGCTTCTAAAAAAAAAACAGGAGCTCCCACGACTCTTTCAAATTCAATTTAACATAGGACACTAGGAATCTCCAAGATTCTGTCAAATTCCTTCTAGTAAAATTATTTCAAATTATATAAAAAATCACTAGAACTTTCAAGATTTTTTCAAATTCTTGTTAAAACAAAACGCTAGAAATCCCTACGATTACAATGAAAATCCCGTAAAATTCTCTCAATTTTCCAAAAAGACCACTAGGGGCTGACAAGAATTTTTGAAATTCTTTCTTAGCCAACATTCTACCACACTCTAAAAAAAACCACAACGGACGGCAAAGATTCTTTCAAATTCTTTACATAAAAATGAGCAACAGCTCTCAAAATTGTTTCAAACTCCTTCTTAAAAAACGCTAGGGGCCCCCAGGATTCTTTCAAATTCGTTAAAAAAAAACATGTTGGGGCTTCTACGAAACTTTCTTATAAAAAAAGGGATTGTCCAATAATATTTCAAATAATATCTAAGGCCTTCAGGATTTTTTAAATTTCTTGCTAAAACAGTACACTGGAAACCCCTACTATTACCCCTATGATCTTGCCAATATCTCAAAAAAGCACTAGGGTCCCCAAGATTCTTTCAAATAAATTGTCAAAAAACACTAGGCGCGTTTATGATTCTTTCAAATTCTTTAGAAAAAAATGTTTCTTAAGAAAACACAAGGCGTCTCTAACATTATATCAAATTGTGTCTAAAAAGACCAATCAGGGCCCCCACGAGTACAAGATTTTTCCAAAGTCTTGCTAAAACAGAACACACTTTCTAGTTTGGTCTACAAATCCCTGCTCACACAACTGACAAAGCCGAGGTGTTGAAATTCCGCTTTCTTTCGATACCAGCTGGTATTAGAAGCACAGCCCGCTCGATCCAACCATTTGTTAATTATTTACACTGCCTCATTCGCCACCTTCTCAATATGCATTCTATAGAGCCACTATTACTACCGTCCGATCACCGCCAAATATATAATCGTTCATAACACCGGTCCTGAAGCGGACCCTTGTGGCACTCCAGCTGTAATTTTCAACAGCAAGTTCTTGTTCAGTCACTTCACATTCTTTTTTGTCTTCTTTTATTAACCTTTCCTATCATTTTTGGTTCCGAGTTATTATTTTAAGTTTTTTTTCAAATTCGCTCTCGCAGTCGTTCAAATTTTTGTCAAACTATTTGGTGTCCTTTTCCCGGATCAGCATCTACCTCTGCAAAAACCTCCTCCTATTTTTTCCCTGGACTCTATCATCGTTTCCTTAAATATTTTCCTGATTTCCTCCAGTTTTTGCATTTTAGAGAAAATACTGTCCATCCCATATATACGTTCAACTAATTTGAATTTCTCATGATGATTAAGCACTCTGCAATCCCATAATTTAGGCAAACATCAATCGTTGATAAGGTTGAATGTATATTTTGAGGTTTAGTTAGGTTTCAGAAAAATGTCAATGCTTTCCAAAATAGTTGGAATTAAAACAAATTTTACACATACGAAAATTTTGTGAACTTTGTTGTTTTTTGAACAGAATATTCTTCCTATTTTAACACAAACTTGATAGCCATCAAAAATACGAACTTGTTATGTTGATAATCAAAAATGTAATTACTTCGAGGGTGTATTTATAATTTTTTATATTTGTTTGTAATATATTCGCAAAATATATTTTATTTTAAATAACTTTGAAAGCACCTGCTGTGTATTAGTATATATATTAAACTTTAAATTAAAGTTGCCAAAAATTCACGCGTTTAAGAACCATTATTGACTTTTATGTTGTTAATTCATTGAAATGTTAAGCGTATAAAACATCTGACGGAGTGAGTGTATAAAAGTTTAAGTTCGTGACAACTATCATCTTATAATCGTCTAAAATGTCCACGTAGCTTATAGTTTTCATCACTTGGTGGTGGTGCGGTGCAATATCCGGATAAACTTTGCCAATAATGTACAGGTCTGCTGTTGACAAGCTGGATATTGAAACCACACAGTGCATGCATAATTGAAATCTTTGACATTTCGAATTTATTTTCCATTATTTAGACTAGACAGATGATATTATTCGAATGAGAAGCTTCCAGATTGATCTACCCCAAAATTTAATACGTGCAACATTTTTCTTCGTCCTGGAAAATAACATCGAGTTACTATTAAACGTGCGAAGCAGCTTATACCAGACGATAATAAATGCGGTGTTTTATTATTCCAGCGGTGAATTAAACTCAAAAACATGCGGTTAAATCCACTCCATGCTGATGCTCCCACTATTGATATACGGTAAACATTTGCTCAAACGAATCAAAAAAACAAACGGACGAGTGCAGGTATTTATTTATTTATATTTGTTTGGTTAGTTAACATTAGCAGCGGTATTCGCATATGTCCCCAGTCCTCCATGTTTGCGTAAAAACTGATTCGTGTGTCTTTTAATAAAATCACTCCGCACTGGAACGATTCAATTTGTGTAAAATCGAATATCAATTTGCATAGCAATGTTTCAGTAACTAGTTCAGGTTCTACTGCACTCGGAAGAGTCTGAGAGGAGCAACAGAATTCGGAGCCAAATTGAATAAAACAGCTCGTTCCATGTAAGGGGTCTCCAATTAATTACCAAATCGGAAAAATTTGCATAACAAATTTACAGAAACGTTCATTAAATTAATATTCCGCCGGATAAAGCGCCCTTTTTTATTAACTACTGATAATCGAATCGACAGCTAATGAAAACATTCGCTGTAACACTGATCAGATAAAAGTGATGCGAATGAAAATGGATTTTCCATAAATACAAGCACCCTTAGCGCTTCGGGTAGGCGATTTTTTATTTCCCGCTTGGAGATAGCTGAAGCATTAATGTTGCAACGGCTAGTGCTATTTATGCTCGAGCAAAAGTAAACGTAATTGTTGAAGCACACAACTAAATTTAACTTATTTAAGAAGCCGTTAAAATTTACACCGCTAATTTGCTAATGGTGCTTCAGCACGATGCCGCCGATCCTCGGTTAATTAAAGTCGGGAGGGCAATTAAGGTTAGTTCTTTAGTTCCCATTGTTGCTGTAAGAATAACAACTAACGTCTCGACGATCTCCACCGACTACAAAATTAGAAAACTACAACGAACTAAACTTATTTACAAATGACGTCATTAAATTTCTACAGGGGAAAAATATCATATCTCCAAACCATTAACTCTCTTCTCTTTGTTGCAGATGTAAATATGGTGGCGGAACCCAAACCCCACCAAACAGGGAGGAAAAGACAAAACGTTGCCAAAACCGGAAACGACTGGTGAGTAGGAAATTTTAGTTTTGTTGCGTTAGACGACAAGCTCAAGTGGTTTTATTTCGGAAACCCTAGCCAAAATTTATCAAAAGCTCTCTTTTATGTTTGGTGAAAGGGTCAGTGAGTGCAGTACCTCGGTGGCCGTAATAATATTATTGATTATACTGCAGGAGAACTTAATTTCATTAACTCATGGCTTGATGCACGATAGCTGAAGGTTGATGGGCGTTGCGAAGTGGTGTCAAGAGGGGGTTAAATGACCCCGAAGGGATTATGGCGATGTCGATGTGCTTTCATTCGCCAAATTTCCAAACGTATGGGTATGCGTTCGACGTTGTAATTATTGTGAGAGGTTCTTGAAAATGAAAGCTTTTTAACTAATTTAGAGCGGTGTTTTGACTATTTCAATACAAACAAAGGGAGCAGGGTATTGATTAAAGTGTCAAATATCCAGACTAGATTACAGGGAACTCTGTGAGATAAATTAATCTCTGAATGTACTGATAGGGTTAATGAAATAAAAGAACAATTTTCGAATTGGTTTTCGATATGTAAACGAATTATTGTGTATCGCTACATTTTTAAATCGAATAAATAGCTAAAACAACAAGTTAATTTTCTGTTGTACTTCTATATCATTGTGATCAGGTGAGGTTAAGTCAGATCAGGTTAGATTAGCTCAAATCAAGACAGAATAGGGCATGTCAAGTCAGGTCAGGTCAGATCAGATCAGGTTAGGTCAAATAAAGTCTGGTCGGGTCATTTTAGAGCAGTAAAGTAAAAACTACACTTTTGTGAGGTACAAACTTAAAAAATGGTAGCCTAACAATAGATCATAGGTTTAATTTTGCTCAAAATCAGAGTTTTTTTTCAGTAATTAATGAAACAATTTTCCTTTTTCCACATTTCTGCATTTATTATTTTCATAACAATAAGGTAATGGTAATTTAAGAAAAAACTGCTGCTTTTATAAATCCCTGGATAATGGTTATACATAATTTTAAATTATATGATTATGTCAAAAATGAACATTAGTGTATTCTTAATCACAATTAATTAATTAATTAATTGGCACTGTTTTAGACAACGAACTATAAAATTTACATCTGCTCACCTATAATCGGATCAAGAGATGTTACACAATTCCAAATTAAACAAATTTTTCTAATTTATTGATTGTAGAATTCTTAATTCCTAGTAATTCTTGTATTATTATGTTTGTAATTCGAATATCTTAATTTTCGCCATTTCCTCAAAAATAGTGCCGTAGTAGTATCTAATTTAATACCTACTCTAGTAAGTAATTAAAAAATAATTAGGAACAATATATTCCTAACTGATCTATCTTTATTCATGACCTACTGTTCGTGAAATTTTAACAATCACTAATTCATTTAGAAATGTTATTGGAATCACTTCAAATTTTTATTTATTTTTAGCTCTTATCTTGCGTAACATTATATATTTTAATTAAAAAAAAAAACAACTTCAGGTACGTAAAATAAGACGTTTTTTTAAAGACAATTAAAATGTTGGAGTTTGTTTTGTTTTAAAAATCAATAGTGACTGTTAATTTGTAATTTTTAAAATCATCTGTCTGTCGTCTGTATGTCTGTTTGTGCGGATTTTTATTAGGCAGATAATCTCCGAAACTACTGGACTGTTTGTCAAATTTTATACGTGTGTTAGAAATATTGTGTGGATGGTAAAACGCTAACTAAAATTTGTTCAATCATCCCCACAAACGATTAAATGACGTCACTTCAACATTTTGCGTAGCACATTTGGGCGGAGGTGGCGGCTACTTGTTTAAATTCTATTAATTCTCTTTTTATATCCACAAAAATTTATCATACGTGTTATGTCTATTCAAATATCTATGAAAGTCTTTCGTTCTGTCATGAACACTTTTTAATAAATCGGGGGTGGCTCTTTCTAAATTTTCCAATACAATTTTATCGTAAACACAAAAACAGAAGACGATTTTTATTAAATATTGAACTGAATTAATTATTTTTTTTAAATCCAACAATTTCACTGGCGCAGAATGAAAATGAACTTCCGTAGTTGAATTAATTCAAATGTGACCCGATGCCAGCGAAATACAGCGACTGGAGGTGCGGTTTCCGTAGCAACGGTGTACACAAAAAGTCTAAATGAGTCATAATTGGGTCTCCGTTTTTTTATGGAGACCTTACCAACGATATATCCAAGACACAGTATCTTTACATGTAAGTTTTGATACATTTGATACAAATGGAACGAAATATAAAAAATAGTTTTGATAATTATGACACAAATTTCCGAATAATTTTTAAATATTGAAAATTACTATTTTTCTATGTCCAACTTGCTAAGATAAGACGCAACAATATTAAAAGTAGTCACTGGAATAAAGACGGGGTGGCTGGACGGGGCTACTGCTTTTAATTTTTCGATTTGCGATTTCAGTCGTTTTCAATTTTTAATTATTATTATTATTATTATTCACTTATGCCAATTTCGACCAATTATCGGCCATTTTTGAAATTTAACTAAAAACATCTCGTATATTTTGGGCCGTGTTTTCAGAATCGCCCATTGCAATATCGAAATTGTCAGAAATTTATAATTTCATAACGATTATTTCCAAAATATTGCTCCGTAACCATAAACATGCTATATTTTTGGAACCAGCAGGTCTAGATCTCTGTCCCAGAATTTTTTGAGACATTTTAAACAACTTCTTCAAAAATAACATTTTCCACTGGTACTTGCTAAGATAAGACTGACTTTGAGAAATGACTCAACAATATTAAGAGTGGTAATTGGAATGAATAGGGGGTGGGTGGGTGGGGCTATTGCTTGCGTATAAAACACTCTCTAAGAAAAAGTTAAACTTAGCCCCGCCCACCCACCCGTCCTCTCATTTTGTTCTCCTGAAATAAGAAATAAATCTTATAGCAAATAGTATAACAAAAAATTACGGTTGGCACTTTGTTTTCGTTTTTTAACTGCCTACGTTCTATCAGTTTCCATTTCCACTCTGGAAAAGAACATATAACTAACCCCACCCACCCGCCCCGCCTCTATTTCAATGATTCATTTTATCTGGTAAGAATGAAAGGTGCATCTTATACTCAATAGAAATAAAAATAGTTACAAGGAGTACAGGTGGGCGGAGTTAGTACCTGCTAAGGTAGAACTGATTTTGGTAAATCACTAACTTAACAAAACAAAGGGTGGGTGGGCGGGGATAATACTTGCTAAGATAAGACGCAACAATATTAAGAGTAATCATTGGAATAAAGGGGGCGTTCCAATCTGGGTTGTGTTTTTATTATTTGACGGTAGATGTCGCGTCTGAGTGGTTTTGGAATTCTAGTTGTAGATGCGTACTTTGGCAGCAGATGGCGCTTTAGGGAAAAAAGTCAAATACGGTGCCAGGTGCAGGATTTGAACCTGCGCTCGTTTTCCGAAGATAGTCCTCTACATATGATCAAGTAAGATGTGGTCGAATTTGGCGACAGTACGCTAGGGATAGAGATAGGTTTCAAAGAAGAATAAGACAAGTAGAGAAAATTTCAGATTCTATATTACGAAGGGAACACAGAAAAAATATATATCAGGATTTAAGTCTAAAACCTTAGTCCACTCGGCCAACCTGGCTTGCAGTCCAAACTAATCAAATTAGGTATAAAAAATTATGCTCTTCATTTCTTTTAAATTTAGGTAATGGTAATTTTGTTTGAGTTTGTATAAAATCGCATTCTGATATGAGTATAATTTAATCGATATTAAAAAAGTGTTAAAAAAATTGATACGTTTTACCATCTACACGATATTCCTAAAATTTGCCAACAATTGATCCGGTAGTTTCGGAAATTATCAGACAGACAGACGGAAACGGAAGACCTATCTTTTCGTACCCTATGGGACATGAAACGTCGAGAAAACTGCACTCGATTACAATAAGAAAAAGTGACTGCACGAAAAATTAAAAAAGATGGCTTATCATTATCAATAGTATACAAATAAGATAAATATAGTGCAAAATTAGCACAGCATAGATGTTAAAAATAAACAAACATCTAACAGAAATTTCTTGAAGAAAAACAGAGGGAATTACCATATAAAAACTACTACAAAATCTACTTTTTATGGCTTCTTCTACTATTCCTAAATATTTCTTCTTTTTTAAAGGTGATTTTAAAAAATGATCTACAATTCTTCAAAATCTTCAATAATAAAGGGAAGCTACGACACGAAAAATTTATCGGTCTAATAAAAATCGACACAGACGACAGACACACAGACGGAGACGGCAGAGCAATTTTTTCGTACTATAGGTATGATGAAACGTCGAGAAAACACGAAAGTACCAAATCGCTCGACAGAGTCAATTACAATTCATTCTAGTATTCAATTTTTGAGCACCGTTTTTTTAATTGTAAGTAATGATGACTCTGTTTTGAATGTTGCTCATAGAAATGTTAAACAATGTATGTAGATTCAAATATTTTTTTTTTAATGACCTGATTTATTCAAGCAGCAAAAAATGTCTATTCAAGTATCAAAATATTTTATACTGTTATATTATTATTACAAAAAATGTTTGTGTTTACCCTTCGAAGAAATGAGTTCTCGACTGATTTTCTCCGCTATCGCCTCGTCCAAAAAAATATTGTCCTGGGGCATTTATTCCGTCTTGATTCAAACCCTAAGTTTTACTAGAGATTCAAAACGACAGAACGTTCCACTAATACACAGCCAACCATATAATTTGTGCCTTGGAGTACTTACCAAAGCGGTTGCATATAATCCGATTTATCTCATGAAATGCAGCGCCGAGGATAGGATAAAACATTAACCAGTTTGAAACAGCATTAGTGCCAGAAATTGGACTTATTTATCGGGTTTCGATGAGATAATACACTGATTAGTCGCAAATAACTCATCAATATTTTACCGCAATGAGCACCCATAATTTTTTACCATTTGTTTGCGAACAAGAAAACGGATCGTTC